ACTTAAATCATGTAGCTAGGTATTGTCAAACTATTACTGCTTCTAAAAGGAATAATAATTATTGTACATTTAATGTAATCTTTAGCTAATAAATAAATGAGAATCTAACAAAGTGAGGTTAGGCAGCTTTCATGTTGAATTAAATTGACCTATATAAAGTGCTTTGAAGATAAAATGTTGTATGCCATTCGGCCAAGAAGTGTCTTTTTGTGCTTCGCTCAATTGTAGGCCTCCGCTACGCGTCGGCCTTCAAACTTTGAGCTTAGCACAAAAAGCCTTACTTCTTAACCTAATGACATAAATAACTATTATTGTACCTACCATAAAATGTTAAGTTTGTTGTATTTTGTAATTAAATAAATTACCTATTCTTCAGTTTTCAAATTAATACCTAGGTACATATTTATTATGTATGCATGTGTAATAGGTAGTATGTTTTGTAAGCTATGTATGTATGCAGAATAACTGTTACTCATGAAATAGTTTTGTCAAATACCATTCGGGCATCTAATTTTTCCTGTGAAAAAAATCGAAAAAACACAATGCTAAGTAATATTTTTCGTAAGTAATATCATAAGGGAATCTAATTTTTCCGAAAAAAATCGAAAAAACACGTTGCTAAGTAATATTTTAACAAGAAGCATGAGTGCTGGTGGCAACAAAAATCCGAGTCGAAGAGGAGGATTTTTGCACCTGCACGAATGCATTTTGTTAAAAAATATTACTTAGCATTGTGTTTTTTCGATTTTTTTCACAGGAAAAATTAGATGCCCGAATGGTATTTGACAAGACTATTTCATGAGTAACAGTTAACAATTAAAATATAAATTGCAATTTTTGGTGACAACAGCTGTCAAGTTTTGCCGCGGGTAAACTCGAAAAAACTGCTGACAGATGCTGTCACACAGTTTTTTCACCTAGAAACCATTTGTAATTCAAAATTGCGCGTTTGTGATTGGTGGAAATTAAGACGAGGGAAATAGTCAACAAAATGCATTCAGCAGGTGCAAAAATCCTCGTCTTCGACTCGGATTTTTGTTGCCACCAGCACTCATGCTTCTTGTTAAAATAATTCTTAGCAACGTGTTTTTTCGAAAAATTGGATGCTCTTATGATATTACTTACGATAATTTAGGAAATTCGAAATTTTATTTTGCTATTTTTTTATTGAGTAAAATTGAGGATATTATATTAAATGAGCATAGGAATGTTTGCACAAGAGGTGACATATAATATTATACAAATTATAATATACCAGTATACATTTGTATACAGTGTGTCCCCGGATCGGATTTCCGATGGGAAAAACTTTTTTAGACCTGATACTTCTAAACCGTGCACGGATTTTGAATTTACGACTAAAAATTATGTTTAAGTGTCCGAGCGTTTAGCTTTTATATTTCAAGAGTTGGAAATTTACCTACAGTGGTATTAGTGGCTGCTTTTTGGCTATGGCAATTGGTCATTTTTGACTAATTCATTTTTAAAGAGTACCTAGTCACTGCAGCGGCAGATGAAATCCGAAATCATCCGGATATGATAGCAATAGCGACACATCATAATTTTCTATGCCACGCTCAACTTTGTGTGGATAATAACGGCGGGATAGTTAAACATTTATTATGATTTAGTGGAACACTAAAAAAATAGCTACATGAGCATCAATCGAGGTTAAAAAGGAAAGGTGATATTTAAAATCGACGGGAACCTCGAGATACCTAACTACAAAAAGTAAGTATTGTTTTATTTAAAGTACCTAAAAATAGCTCAGTGAGCAAAACAAAAAACAATTATAAACAAAGTAATCAATGATAAACCAACGTAAATTTTTAATGAATGTAGATTATTGCCCACTGTGCAAGCATATTTTGCTTTAGTTGTCATAGGTCAGGAACAACCAGTGGCGGCCCAAAATTTCTACTTTACTTATAAAAATTTTAACGATTTTTTTATGAAAAAAATGGCACCAATGCAAAAATGATACAGGGGACACTTTCTTATTTTGGCGTGTAATATAATTCCTTTGAAGGATGACAACTTATTTGGTAACAACCTTTATTATAAGTAAATTTAAAAGTAAACTACGTACACGTCATCAATCAGCTGATCGGGCACGGTTGTCAATGTGATGCTAAAATCCTTGCATCAAGGGAAAGTGGTAGTGCAACTACAGGGCGATAGATGGCGTTTACATGAATAATACCAAAATGTCAAAAGTCTGAGTTTTTATAACCTACATGATGCACCGCCAAAAGTATGTTTTAGCCATTTTTAAAGACATTTTCTGATATAAAACCCAAAAATTTTGCCATCTAAAGTCAGTCTCTGGTATATATATTATTATTTCATGTATCCAACATATATTTTGTTAAATATTCTAATATATAATTAATAATAATCCTATTTACCTCTCTAACAGCTGTTAAAGGTAACAAAGGTCCATTATTATCCCGTTCTGCCTCAAAATAGCGTATTAAGGATGACACCAACTCTTTACTCCGACTATTTAAATGCTTCGGCATTTTAAATATAGGAAACACAAAAAAACGATATATAACAAACACAAAAACGGCAATGAAAACTTAAAAGATATAAAATAACACAAACAACAAACAAAATTAACGAAATAATACACGAATTAAACGAAATATTCAAAAACACAACTGACAGCTTCGAAATTCTAAAACGTCAAATTCTTTTATATGTGTCATTTAAATATGAAAAATTTGAATGTAAACATGACAACATCACAATTGTTGCCAACTTAATTTGGTTAAAATGCATTCAAATATTCAATTACAGACTTCGATTTAGTCATTTAGTGTTGGTACCAATGCGTAACATTTTTGTTTTATTGATGACGTGTACGTAGTTTACTTTTAAATTTACTATAGTCACGGCCAAATCTATATGGGTGCACGTCATCAATGAGATATAATGACGTCAGCATTACCAACTTTGAATTGTAAAGTTACTGCCGTTAAATTTGCTTTTTTAAGGCGTAATTCTGATGTGTTATTAAAAAGAAATCATTCATTTGCGTATTGTTTACCAAGAACTGTAACAATTTCCTTGTTTTAAAACGTTTTTTCACGAAATTATCAAAATAAAACCATTCACTTAGTAATTTTTGTGTGTGCCAGTTGGTAATAGCTTAAGGCTGGCGCGCACCGTTCAATATTATTGATGGGTCGCTGTCATTTTATATTTGACGTATTTTTGTAATTGTGACATTTCGTCCGGAAGCATCGTTTGTTGCAAATTATTATAAATAATATTATACATTATGTTTATAAGATTCAATCCCTGGATTGTGCAAACAATGATATAAGGCCTGTTGGCAACTAGCCGTTATTAGATTTCGAAGACATTGCGCCCTTAATAATAAATTTGGGGAAATAATCAAAATTCAATTCTGACCTGGTTTGCTCTGATGACAAGGACGACTGGTAATTTATTATTTTTGTGTTTCTGATAATTTAGTATTTTTTTGTTATGTGCATATGTAATAAAAATGTAATAAACTCCGTTTGTTTTCTCTTTAAACACATTTAATAAAAATTTGCCTGTAACAAACTCCTAATTAGTTAGTGCAGAAGATTATACAAGGACGTTATAATTCCATCTTAATAACAGCCCCCACCGCTATAAACAATACACGAGCGTTAGATTGTGTCTGGGCACGTATGAATAGACCTTAACGCTGACGTCATATGCCGTTGATGACGTGCACCCATACAGATTTGGCCGCGACTATATATATTATTATTTATTATAACGTTCGTTGACGTTGTTAAATTGACACATTTTGTAGTAAATTATTAACAAAAAAAAACAACAGTACACGCGCAATACAAAATTAGGTACAATACGAGCACGTGTTGAAGTTAATTAAAGTGTTAGGCGTGTACCTTTTCGTTTTTTAAACATATTCAATAAAACAACTGCTTTTGTTAATTTTATATTTTTAGTGTAGAATAAAATAAAGAAAATGAAAAAAAAATAATAAAAACAAGTAATGTTTGAATGTTAGGAATAACTTCGTAGGACTAGAATTACAAAGATCTTTATTGCAGTAACATTCGTAACTGTCAGTCAGATCTGCCTTTTGAGCCTCACATTCCTCCTTATTATTATGAACAAACGCGCATTCGTGATGGTAGATTTTTCTGGGCTTGGGAAAAAAATTCACTGCAATAAAAATAAGAAAATTAGCCTAGTTTTCTTTTTTGGATAAGGGTGATTCTAACTTAATTATTATTTTTAATTTTAATTTTTTCAAGGGTTGACATGTCAGATTGGGAAAAAGTGAGGTTAAACCCGTCTGACAGATGTCAGATTGGTAAAAAGTGAGGTTAAAGTCGCTTAACAGTTGTCAGATGTCTCATAAAATGTCAGAAAAAATACTCACAATCTTGTACAACTTTTCTACACATTGCATCACTTTTTGCATCAGTTAAATTTTGTAAATCTTCCAGTTTTTCACATGTTTCAGGCTCAAGGGAATCCTGTTCACATTTTTCTCCATGACATACGTAACATTTTAAACACATAACTAAATAAATAACATTATTTCCTGACTTAATTGTAATAATGTTTTTTACCTGACTTTAAACTTAAAAATATCATCAAAGCAATCACAATATACTTATAATAAGGCAACGCTATAAGCATAATATTGAAGACAATTCATTATTAAAAATATTTTACCTTTTGACAAACGTCATTTATTGATACAAAAAATTGGTATCGACAACAATAAAATCCCTGTTTTTGATGACATTATTTTTTCTGTATTTATTCTTTATGTAATAAGTTGGGAATATAATATAATATATTTCACTCCAAAGTGAAAATTAACGTAATTCTAAGGCATTTGTTTGGCACGACACTGGATTTGTTTAAACCATGACCTACTTATACTGTATTAGGGGGTTTAACGTGTAAGCGGTTGGGGTCGACATGTGCTCATGGTGGTTCTAGGGAAAAAATAAGCGGTCATCTATACGTATATTACTCTTAGTGTTTTTATTACATACATATACATATATTTATACAATGGTGTTTCTACTTGGGTTATTTCTATTTCTGTGCGGCAACGCATAAAACATCTTCCTCCAGAACCAAGGATCCTCCCACTTGATGTACGTAGTCATTTTCATGTAGATACTCAAATCACCATCAATCTGCGTCATGTCCACTTCCCCATACACAAGAACTATGACTCTGGTCCTTCCTTCGGTGAGGGCCTGCGTGTAAGCGGTTCGGAATTCCATTTTCGTCCAGCAGCTCTCCAAGAAGTTTTTCGAGACTATCACAAGAGTTCTTCGGGAATCTCTTACCGAAGTGATGACTTGCTCGGTTATAAGTACTCCAGGTATCCAGTCTCTGTAGTGCACGCACACCTTGTAAGGATTCGGTCCTGATTCGAGGGTGGGCAGTAATGTTCCAAGAACGAAATCGTCGTCTTTTTGGGAGAAGCTAAGGAAAACATCGTAAACCTTGTCTTTGTCCAGTTCTTCTTCTGTGACAAACCATAACAACCATCCTTTGTAATACAGCCACATTTTGATGTACTTTTTCCATTTGTAGTAACTCGCCAAGAGGGATAGTAGAAACAATAATAATACTAATACTAATACTATAATAACCCAAGGAAAACTTTCCTCAGCACAAATATTCTCGGCATTGATAATTTTCATGTTTGTTTTATCACATTTAATATTTTCTTTGTCCACCTAAAATATTTTGTATTAGGACCCAAAAATATTTTTACAAATAAATAAATAAAAAATTACCTGAATAATGCCGCTTAAATATTGCTTTAGTTTTACAGTTGTACAATCGCAAATAAATGGATTTTCTCCAAGTTTAAGAGACTTTAAGGAAGATCTAGTTAATGAATCAATTAGTTGGTCATTTAAAAATGAAATTTTATTTTGGTCCAAATAGAGAACCTAGAATATTTGATTATGTTATTAATGTTTTCTTTAACTTACGTATTATGAAGGTACATACTTGTATGTTGGATGGTATCCATGTTATATTTTTTATTTCATTTTTTGATAAAATCAAACTAGTTACATTATCATATCCATCATGTTGAGAAGGACCTTCAACTAGGTTATTGTTTTGCAAATCGACCGATATATTTTTGACTTCGATGTTTTCACCTCTCTTGGGAATATAACTTGGAGCCCAAAATTTAGGAATTTTCTTTAGTTTTCTATTTGAGCAATCCACCATAAAGTTAAAATTAACCGGATACCAAAAACATTTGCATTTTTTAGGACAAGTGTATCCTTCATCCATTATAGAGGACATCGGGTAATTAATATGTTCTATATTTCTTGTCAAATTATACATCATTTCATTATTGGAACATTTTATTGTTTCATAATTAAGTATTTGAAAGGTGTTTTCAATGGTTGGAACTGATGTAATAAAATCATAATTCTTCCAGTTACACGAGATTGTTGTATTATCCATATTTAAATTTATATATTTTTTATAATCAGGTGTAAAATAGGTGTCAATGATTTCTATGTTGTTGTTTGCCAAATTGTATGAATCACATCCCGCGATCCAAAGTCTGCTGAGCTAAAACAGGGCGCTTCAATAATTATAATTAATAAAATTTATATATAAAAAAATACTCACACTAATTCTATTAATTTTAGTGTATGACAAATCGATATCCGTACATTTCAATAATTTACAGTTTTTAAATTCCTCTAAATCCGTATCATCAAAAATATTGGATGATTTGGTATTTTTTAAATTTAATGTTTTTAACTCCCTAGTAATTGTAAACCAACATAAATTAAAACTTAAATTTTGAATATTGGACAAATTTATTTCATTGATATCGAGTAAAAGTTCCAAAGCACCAAAAAAATGAAGTTTATCAATTGAATTGTTAAGTAAATTATGTTCCAAATTAATGTATCTCAATTTTTGTAATCCAATAAAAACATGCACAGGCAAATTTTCCAAAGTAAAAAAATTATATCCCAAATCAAGTCGATCGAGGTTTCTTAAATGATTAAAAGTCCCTGTTGTAAAATCTGTTAAAGAATTATTTCTTAGGTTAAGGATTATAAGATTATCTAAAGTATCAAAAACTCCAATGCGTAAATGTTTTAATACATTATTTTTTAGGGAATTGTCCAGATATTTAAAAGTTCCATAAGGTAGAATTGTTAAAGAATTATTTCTAATGTCTGATTTTGTAAGGCTGGACAAAGAATATGAAATCTCACTGGGTAAACTTTTTAATTCATTATTTTGTAAGTGAAGTTCAATAAGATTTTGTAGAGAATTAAAAATTCCACGAGGTAGAGTTTTTAAAACATTATTGTTTAGGTGAAGGTATTCAAGGTATATTAAAGAATCAAAAATTCCACGCGGTAAACTTTGTAATACATTATTTTCCAGGTGAAGGTCTACAAGGGTTTTAAAATAATCAAAAACTCCACTGGGTAAACTTTTTAATACATTATTTTCCAGGTGAAGGGTGTCAAGGTATTTTAAAGAATCAAAAATTCCACTGGGTAAACTTTTTAATACATTATTTTCCAGGTGAAGGTGGCCAAGTGTTTTTAAAGAATCAAAAATTCCACTGGGTAAACTTTTTAATTCATTATTTTCCAGGTGAAGTTGAATAAGATTGTCCACATAATTAAAAGTTCCATACGGTAGAATTGTTAAAGAATTATTTCTAAGGTCAAGGATATAAAGTTTTTTCAAAGAATTAAAAATTCCAGTGGGTAAAATTTTTAACTCATTATTTTCCAGGTGAAGTTGAACAAGATTTTCTAGAGAATTAAAAGTTTCATGAGGTAGAATTTTTAAAACATTATTGTTTAGGTAAAGCTCTACAAGGTTTTTTAAAGAATCAAAAATTCCACTGGGTAAACTTTTTAATACATTACTGTCTAGATAAAGTGTATCTAACTTGGTCAAACCGTAAAATAAGTTACCCAACTAGCATTTATGGTGGCAGATACGTAACTGCTACTATCAAAGCCACTACAAAGGGGGCGGTGACCATCGGCGGCTACGTTGTATATTCGTAGCTGCTAAGTAACTGCGACCAAAATGGGGAAAGATTTTGAGTACCCGGGTAGTGTCTTGGGTAGTTTTTGCCACTAAAAGAGTTACTACGATATGTTACTATAAAGTAGCCTACTGGTGAATGCTACTTATCTGTTACGAAGCTGCCTAGTCGCGGGGTCGTGGCAGCCTAGTGTTTTCCTCCGACAGGTAGACCTTTCTTTAAACTATTAAACTGTATTCGCAGCGACCTCTTCATGTAATTTCACACTTCCTAAAATAAATGTCATGATGGAAAGTAATTATGGAAGCCATTATTATTTTTTTGTTATTTACCATGCGATTTTAACGCCTTTTGTGGGTCAATTCCAAAACGCAATTGACTTTACTGAATAAAATAGTGGGTTTATATGACAAAATTTTCGAGCGCCTTTCAAAACATTTCAAATTATTATATTATTTGCAATAGAAACTCATGTAGTAATTAAAAAAAAAAATTAATTTGCTCGAAACTGGCGTGAAACTTTAAAATATTAGTCCACCGTCACAAATAACAAAATATCTAAGGAAAAAATCTTTAGTTTAGGTATATTTAGCTTAAAAACGCAAAATGTTTGAGCCATTTGGTTGTTCGTCTATAAAGTCATGAAAAAAATATGGCCGTTTAATCCGAAAAATACTTTATAGTTCCATATGCTTCCACAAAGTACCGGGAACAATAATATATTAGGCCAACCCTACCCGTTTGGAACTTTAAAATCTTCGGATTGATAAAGTGACAATTGCAACTACCCAGAGACGACTTTATGGAAACAATAACTTTTTGGGAACTACATGGTCCACGATTCTTTGGAACTATAAAGTGATTTTTTCAAAGAAAGTTCCCTGCGCCACTAAATTGCCACTTAATTGCATCGTTTATGCTACACCGATCGCGGCGTGCCACTATAACGTTCCGCCTTATCCTTTGAAGTTCCCGTTTGGCGACGCGAGAATCGTATTTTTTGTAGAATGCAAATTGAATATTATCAAACATAATGTTTTACTGGTTATTGCAATTCTTATGATCACATGACAATTATTCATTTATTTTCAAAAAAATTAATTATTATAAAAAAACAGGACCCACACCGTATATGACGTCACTTCCGTCTCGTGTCGTTTTTTCTAGGTTTATTAATTACTCTCTTAAATCTTGAATCGTTCTCTTCCACTTAATCTTTGAATTTGAAGCCTCGACTCATTTGACATTTAAGGTATTTCAGTATAGTCATTGAAAGAAATCATATTTATATGTTAACCGCTTATGTTTAAAAATTAATAAATCTTTGTAGTATCACAATATTTTCAACAAATTTATTATACAAAAACAGGGCCCACACCGTATATGACGTCACTTCCGTCTCGTGTCGTTTTATCTATGTTTATTAATTACTGTCTATCTTAAAACGTTCTCTTCCACTTAATCTTCGAATTTGAATCCACGACTTAATTAGAGAGCATACAATATTCATTTTTACATAGCCCAAATACCTACAAGTAAGGCAGAATGAATAACATTCATCAGCCCAAGATTTGAACGCTTGACTCAGGTGTAGAAATCAGAACATACATCAACTTTGATTGCAAATACTTCAGGGAAGTATTGATAAGCTTGACCCATTAAGAATATTTAGCACCTTGAATTTCTTATATTAAATTCCTATTCATCACAAAATATTTAAAGACTATTAAGGTGAAAACGTTCACGTAAGATAGAATAAATAATATTCATCAGCACCTCGATCAGAACGAGATTTGAACACTTGACTCAGGTATAGAAATCAGAACATGCATCAACTTTGACTGTGAATAGGTACTTCAAACAGCTTCAAAAATGTCACTACCTGATTTATGATGTTCATCAGTAGGATTATAGAAAGATGTAGTTTTTGTTTCTGATGTTGATGCTTCGGCTCGCAGTGATTCCTTTTGTTTAATTCTTTGATAGAAAGTACTAGAATATCTAAATTTCTTTTTATTTACCTTAGGCATTTTACAGAATTTTAATAAAGCTTAAAAGCAAGAAAAGAAAACACCAAAACAGAGCAGCACACTATAGTGCATAACATGTATGCAATCTGAGGCAATTACATTTATTAGGGTATATTAAGTTATGGTCACTATTAAGTAGCCATTTTTGATCCCCGCGACTTTTTAGTGGCAAAGGATAGGCGACGGCTACTTTATAGTGACCTAGGAAGGTAGCAGTAACCATTTTGTTACTTTCAATGCTACTATAAATTAGAGGTAACCAGGTGTCGTGGCCGCGACTACCCCGTAACTTAAATTGTTACTATAAAGTAACAAAAACTTAATGGAGGCATTATGGTAGCACTTGTTAGTGACCGCTACTTTAAAAAGTTACTATAAAGTTTTTGGTCTTTTATGGTATCATATTCGAAGATTCAGGTAGTTCCAGCCACTTCTTTAAATTACATGTTTGCCACTTGCAATGAGGGTGTTTATTTTCCACTTTTATGGTAGGTAGGCACTAACCAGTCACTCTCGAAATATACTTCAAAGTGACTATTCCTTATAGAGTAACATTTTAAGTGGCAGGGTGGGTCTAGGAACTATACTTTAGGGGCAGTGACATTTAAAAAGGACTGGGAACTATATTTGCTAATTGGGTACTCGCTAACGTTTCAATTTTGTTACCGTTTAAACTAATATACTCAAGATTTTCTGATCCCCTAAATATTGTTTCAGGTATGCTGACCAAGTTGCAGCTTTGTAAAACAATTCTTGATAAATTTTTACAGTAGGCAAATGAGTAATTTTGTAATTGTATGTTTTTATTATGACTAAAGTCCAATGATATAATTGAACGGTTTTTAAAATTAAACTCGCTACTTTTAAATACAATTTCACCTATAGAAATAACCTTTAAGTTTTTCATTTCAGTAGAATTAAAAGCAATATTATTATTTATATAAATGTGTAAAGTATTAAGATGTTCCTTTAATCCTCTAGGAATGGTCTGTAAATTTGTATTTATAATTTTTAATTCAGTTACTGTCGAAAAAACTGAGAAATCTAAATCTGTTGGATCAGTAAAGTTAACATTTCGTAAAGTTAATATATCAAAATCAATATGAGAAAAATTTGAAAAAATTCTATTGGACCAATTAAAATATTGACAATCTTCAATATATAAATAATTATAATCAGGGATAATAAACTCCATTAAATTGTGATTTGAGCAATTGAAATGGATCGATTTATGAGATTCTACCACCTTAATTGGTAGCAATAAAAATAATGTAAAATCCATTAATCTGAAAAACAAAAAGAATATTGTTAACCTATAAATTAATATAGAGTCAAGCCACGTCAAGTGGGACCAGAAAATTTCACGAAATCACCGATTTTGAAAATAATCACATTATTGT